CATATGTGTTTTACTAAGAATAAAGAAAAAAGTTAAGGAAAACACCCCCACTCTCCAGGTCTATATACTGCAAAGTAGACCATTCTGGTCCTCATTTATTATTTATTTCACTGATGCTGCAGGTAGAAGCACATTTCCTGGCCTGCCACTGGGCTGAGTTTTCTGAAAGCACCAGAAACCTTTTCATCACCCTTAGCAAATCCAAAGGAAAAACGGGAGCAGCATTTGCAAGGAAGGGGCTAGTGGATCTGTTCCCTTCGTGAAAAGGCTCTGCTAACCACGCTGGACACATCGTGGCCAATGAATTCTCCAAGGTAGGAATCCAATGAGATAATAGAGGAGAACCAGAAGCCATACTCCTACTTTTAAATACTTTTTTTTTCTTTTTTTTTTTTGGGAGAGGTTTTTGCTATAGGGCGCATGCGCTGGCGGGAAAGACAGACAGAGAGTAAGCGAGAAATCACCCCCCAGGGGGGATGGCCACACTGCAATCCCTTCTCCTCCGTTCTCCTCTCGGGATCTTGGGCACGCACGCACATGCGCCTGATGTGAGTTTAAGCCACCAGGTCCAGGATTTGAACCGCGGACTACATGGGAGTCCAGCGACATAGCCATTACGCTAACTGCTGGTCCCGAATACATTTTACCCTTACTGATTTCATAAAGAACTTGAATCGCTGTCCTCCACCATGCCGACTTTTAAAATCAGACTAGGGCTCTGTTGTTCTTTAGCATTTATTCGATTTACATTCAGTTTATTTTTTCCTGTGCTGGGAGATGCTGAAAAAAATGGAGAGAAGGAAGGAACTACTGACGGTGCCCAACTTTTTCTAACAGCACGTGCTGATAAAGAACCAGAGCCTGTGAGCCATTGAACTGTGGAAGCTTGGGGAATTTCCTCCCGGTTATCAGTACGTCTTTCACCTGGTACAGGACGTTACCTGTCGGTGATCACGTTGTTGCAGGAGCGGATGATGATGATCCCAGACCCTGTGGCCAGCACAGCCTGCACGGAAGAAACTATCCTACCGTCGGGGCAGAGAAGAAAAAAAGAAAGAAAGCGCTCAGTCTAGTCCGGTGGTCAGCATCAAGCCAAACTCTTCAACCTGACTTTCCCCCAGGCTGCCTGTGCTGTGGTGAAAATGGTAGGGCCGCCGCGGCGTTCCCGACCCCCAAGCAGCTGGCAGATGCGGGTAGGAGGCTCCGAGGGATGCCCAAACTTCCCTCCCCAGCCTGCGCCCTGGGCAGCCCTCCGCCCGCTCCCCTCTCCCTCCAGGAGAGGATGCAAAGCGTCTTCGGCAAGCTCTGGCAAGCGAGGCCGAGGGGCGAGGAAGCGAGGCAGGCAGCCTCCTCGCTTCC